TTTTTAATATAAAGCTTTTAATACTTATGTTTCATGGCCCTGTTTGTGTGATTTGAGAACTACTAGAGCAGTAAATTCAAATTCAGAACCGTTTGTTTTTAATTAAATGACGTTCATAATTGTAGTTACTACTACCACTAAATTCGTAATAGATTAAAAATCTTAAATATATTGAAATAAAAATCGACTCGGATAGGACTTAAACCGGCATCGTCAGCGTTCCGATTAAGCTAACCAATTGACTCGGTAGGTTATATCCTACCCGAGTCGAAATTTTTTCAATTTATTTTCGGTTTTTAATTTATATAGTGAAAAAGATACTTCATGAAAATGGGTCAACTACCGAACTTTTCATTCTTATGCCACAATTCAATTAACTTTAAAAAATACATACCTAATATCACGTGTTATTGTTAAAACGAATCATCTGATGTGAAATTACCATTGCTTAATCGGAACAACGCAAAATTCAAATTGCTTTTCCCGCGCACTGTTTGTTGATGCTATCTGGGGAAAATAAAATCGGGCCGTGTAATTACTGGTCAGTGTTATCTACGTCGATGTGACTGTGTTACCGATGTGCCGCCGCCGCCATTATTCAAATTTTGTTCGGGGATTTTGTACTTTCGCATTTCATTAGGCCAAAGTCACCATAGAATATAAATCTATACACTATACTAATATATAAAGCTGGAGAGTTTGTTTGTTTGAGCGCGCTAACCTCAGGACCTACGGGTTCGAATTGAAAAAATATTTTTTGGTTTGGTTAGAGCATTTACCGACGAAGGCTATAAAAAATTGCCTTGTGACTACAGTACTTGTGAACACAAGCGAAGATACAACGAGAATAAGAAGTCCGCGACGCTGTATGTCAATATTTTCAGGTTAACTTGCAAGGAGGACGGAAAGGCCCAAAATTATTAGCGGAAGAAGTTGCTGAAATAGCTAGTTACATATAATTCTCCTATGGTAACACAAAAAATTCTAACAATTGTATGTGCCTATCGGATGGTGCTGAAAATCTTTCATTCATCTTTAATAAATTTCATTGTTCATCAATGATTTTTTTTTCTATTCACCCTATTTTTTTACTAAGATTTAGAATTATCGATGAAATTTTAACATTCAAAGAATAAATTACAGTAACACCAGTGAGTTCTACAAAAACATATATTAAGATTATTTTCCAAAAAAAAAATATCCCAAAAAAGAAATAATATTATTAAAATATAACTAAAAACCATTACCTTGATTTCAATTACTAAGCTTGAATATCGAAAAGAAAAATACTATCCGTGTTTTGTTTAAGGTCGGTATAGAATAAACTTTTCAAAAATATTCGGTCCAAATATTATCCGTTAAATTCTGTGTCAAATTCAAGTAACAACGAAAGTGGATAGTTTATAGAAGAGGCTTTGAAGTGCACGAAGGTCGGTGGACAAGCACCGGTCAAAGGTTAAACGTAGAGTGACATTTAACTTTGTCTTTTAGCGTTAAAACATTATATACTTTTAAGACGAACGTTATGTTGTCGTTAACAATTAGAAATCCCGTATCATACGGGGATTGGAGCAGACATATTTCTAAGTCCGTTTTAGGAAAAAGTAAATCTTATCCATTTAAATAAAACACTTTAACGGTTTAAAACGTTCTAAATATTAGTTAAACTTATTTGAAAATTCTTTTTTAACTTCGGCCCGACGTTTCGGATGCTTTGCAGCAGCCGTGGTCGCGGGGAGACTAAAGATGGAGGATGTCTCTGACGTCAAAGTAAAAATTGCTACGCTAGCGCCATCTGTTCCGTCGAAGTTGGTATTTGGCGAAAATGGCCGGGTCCATTTTAACTAATATATCGCGTTTTAAACCGTTAAAGTGTTTTATTTAAATGTGTACTCGCGTAAACTATAGACAGTATTTAAATCTTATCTAATCGTAATTTCTAACATCCGCATATCAACGTATTCCGATGCAGTTGCTACTTTTGAGAAGACCCCAAAACATTGAAGTGAACCTACAACTCATCTCAATTAAGAGATTACGATTAATTACATATAATCTTACGCTTCAACAGTGGTTATATAAATCTCTTTAGGAGATACGAAATTAATCAGTGGTAAAACGTAACGTAGGGTACGTACGGCTCACCTCAATCATCTCAACGGAAATTCGATATACCTACCACAGATTCAATGTATCAAGTCATTATACTTTTTTTTATGATAGAGCGCGACAGAAAAGTTCACTTGATGGTAGATTAAATGCACCAGCCATGTAACGTCTAAACAAGATGGGCAATTGACTTTTGGCTTTGGATATCCGGATATCCACAGACTGAAATCGAAATGCGATTAAACTAGATGGTTTTACCATCTGTGGGCAGTGGTTCGTGACCCAGACAGAAATTCCTAACACCAATTTATAATATCTAGATGTTTTTTAATTTATTAGAAAAATTGCGAAACGTAACCTCCGTCTACCAAGTCGTAGATTTCTTGGAAGTTTTCTCTCACATATCTAGCAATATTAGAAAACACGGACGACCAGAGACAATCTTTGCAACCATTAAACCAGCGAGCCTTAAAGTTATATATTATAATTGTTCGAATAACATTTTATAATTATGAGAAGGAGGAATCAAAGGAAAGACAAAGTGAAAATTTCCAATTGAAGCTTTGTGAATTCGTAAATAAACGAATACTGATATTTTTCATTGCTACTTGAAGTTTACAGTGACGGAAAAACGAGCGCCTCCCCGCACTCGTTACAAGGATCCTTAAAGGATATTACTTTCTTTCTTTCCTCTAATAAGATTAAATTTTTCTAATGAAACAGAAAATGAAGATATCTCCACTGAAAACATGATTTAGAATGAGCGTTGTTCTCTTTTGTCCAGAAATTTCTTAATTCATAAATTACAGTAACAAAATTGTTGTTTACAAATTAAATTGAAGCAGCCGGCCAGAAATATAAATAAAACCTGTTTTTCCTCAAACTTAAATGAAAAACTGAACACCTAAAAATGTATACAGGAACATGCGTGAAATCCGTACCCTTGGTGGGGCATGGGGCGACTACATTTCTGTGTCCGATTACTGATCCGTTCCATAACAGTAGTTGATCAGACTTCTGTGCCCTGCCTGACCGAAACAATTTTTTGTTTCCCTGGGATTTGAACCAAGGACATCTCGCGTTTAACGCAATGCTAGGCAATACGTTTAACCATTTGGTTATAGTGGCGGTCGTGAATACAGAAACGTGCATTGCACTAAGCTATATGTAAATCGTTGGACTTGCATTTAAGACAACAAGGTACTAGGAGGTGTTAACGTTACCTGACCTTGAAGAGTACGTTAAGCGTCAGTTCCAGTTACCATCACTGATTTACTTGCCGTACCTAGTCGGTAATACACGTTAATTTAATAAAACACTTTAACGGTTTAAAACGCGATATATTAGTTAAACTTGTGTCTCCCCGTGACCACTGCGCCTGCTGCAAAGCATCCGAAACGTCGGGCCGAAGTTAAAAATCATTTCCAAATAAGTTTAACTAATATTTTGCGTTTTAAACCGTTAAAGTGTTTTATTTAAATGTGACCTACTACTCGCGTAAACTAAGACAGTACTTAATACACGTTAGCTAAACGAGTACCTACTGGCAAAAACATATCTCTTTTACGAGTAGGACTAATAGATTATTGGTTATAGCTGTGCCCATGCCTCTGTCTGTTACTTTGTTACTAATTTAAAGAAAAATCATCTTTAATATGTACTTATTTTTTGGTGGAACCGTTTTAGCAGCGCACTCAACACACACTTCCCTCTATTTCATTGGTCCTGTTAGTTGCAGCCTGCTATATCTTCCCCGATAACTAGTCTATCCAACACAAAAGGATTATCGCAATCCAAAACCCAAATAAACTCTTTATTTAAAAATAACACGTCATAATATTGAATGAGCAAAGTGATAGCGAACAAAATAATGGTGGCGGAAAATATTTTAAGCCAGTATTTTAAAGTAGACAGAGGTGAATATAGACTGTGACCCAGATCCGCTTTAAGATGCAGCCGAGCCAAGTGTTTCACGAGATATTCAGTAATTTTAAGTAAGCCTAAGCTTTACTCTGCAAAACATAATGTATTATACCGTGCATTTTTAATTAAAATCTGCGGTTGACATACGCTACATACACTCGTTACTGTACAAAGTATATATAATTAGCTAAAGCCTAGTATTCATTTAAGAAGACTTACTTCAAGAACAATACCATTCGCCTAATAAAATAACAAAAAAGCCCAAGTAAGTTCATGGAAACTTTAAATCACAGTTTATTCAAACTTTCTCATTACATTTATGAAATTTTCATTTCATTTATTTACTTACGAAGATTCCATTTGGTTTTTTTATTAAGTAACTTCTAACTCAGTCAACAAAGGATACTCTATTTCGTGTGCGATTTTCACACAAATTTTACAAAACAATAGATACAAAATTTTCCAAAATGATAAAACCAAGATAAAGCACGTCTGAAGAAAACAATAGCTCAAATAACAATTATAAACAAAGCAATTTGAATGATTGTCCTTTTGTTGCTTTGAATTACTGATAGCTTAATTATAACTCGCATAAAACCCTCCCTCTATTAAACGAGAACATCTAATACTAGTATTCTTGCTATACTTGATAATAGTAAAATTATCAAGTAATTTTAGGCCAGTTATTTATTAAATTCTTAGTTCTCCATGAAAACGCTTGACATCGATGTTTATATTCTAACTGAATTTACTAATATATTTTATATACTGAAAACACTTGTAAGTTCTAGTTTAAACCTTAAATTGACATTTGCTGCAGTTTTAGACTAAGGGCGTAGAACCCTTTTTTTCTCCAATTTTTATTTAACAAAAATCTACTTACTTTAAGTATAGTGTTATTTATCACTTCAGTTAAATTAAGCGAACCCTTGTTAGTTCTACTATTGAAAAGCCAACGAAAGTAGACATTATGGAAGCCAGAGGTCTCTGCTATCTATGCCTTTGTAACTGTTATCTCTATTCAATGATGCAGCCCCTATTTGACAACGACGGATCGCTCCTGAATCTGATTTCACATTGACGTGTATATTGATCATGTATTTTACAAACGACACGCTTAACCGCGACACTGTTTGTGGGACATAATTCAACGAATACATTAGTACAACTGCGTAATAAATTTTTGCGTTTACTTTTCCGATTTTATCTTGACGGCTTACATTCAAACAGGTGTTTTTTACGCTTTTACATTCAAACCACGACATACCTTTTATAAATGGCTTTTATAAATGACATGTTGTTATGAAAATTTTATTGTTAAACCCTTTTTAATTGTTATTAGATAAGTGATTTTTTGTTCCGTTTCATTTGAAATTAAAATTCATACATACAATTTTAAAACAATTTGATAAATAAGTAGCCAAAACAGTACATTAATATATAAAAAAAATAAGTTGTACATTTTACAAAATTATCAAAAAATATAGTAATAGAGATGAGTCTGGTCTCAAGGAAACACAATATTATTATCCAATACATATTACAAGAATGTCGTTGTAACTATAGCACGAAAGAAAAAAAACTTTTAATTACTAAGATAAATTTAAGAAAATATGTTCACATATTTGACAACATTAATATTTTACACATGTTGCACGTGATGGCACTATTTAGATTCGAATTATTTTTATTTGTTAAAGCAACAGCACGGAACGCTGTAGATGCCGGTTCAAGTCCTGTCCGTGACGTAAAAGATTTTTTCATCTAGAATCGATTTTTAATTTAAACAAATTCATATAGGTCTACCTAACATATCTAATAATTCCATATGAATGTGTCAAAGCACAATAGGTAACTAGTGGAATAAATAAGCCTAATTTCCTTTTGACGACCGCTGTATGGTATGCATGCGATAACGGTTCTGCTGACATAACAAATTTCATATGAATGACACTTTGCTGTAGAGCGGCATAATTGCATTTCCATCTGTCCATGAATACAATGTTGCTATCAATTTACCGGTACACTTGTCGCATAGATTCCATTAGCGAATAATTAACTTCCACGTAAAGTTTCAATATTTTTGCACTCTCGCTATCTTTAATGGCTTCCCATTTATAGCATTACGTCGCACGGAAGTGTAATACAAGTTGACGTTACGGTTTTTCAGCAAAATTGCTGTTGATACTTGTTTATATATTTAATTAAACTTCAATACTGTCTGTAGCTTACGCGAGTAGTACACATTTAAATAAAACACTTGAATACCGTGACCACGGCTGCTGGGAAGCATCCGAAACGTCGGGCCGTAGTTAAAATAATTTTCGAATAAGTATATCGGATTTTAAACCGTTAAAGTATTTTATTTATATTTTATTAAACTTTTTTATGGTAGAAGAAGACAGACAAGCTTGGGATGGTGGATGGTCACTTGATGGAAGGTGAAATACCTTAGCCATATAACATCTAAGCAAGATGCATTATCGACCTATCTTGGCTTTGGATATTCGGAAATCCACAGACTGAAACGGGAACGCAATTAAATTCATGTCTTTGTCATCTGCGGACTGTGGTTCATGACCTGGACGGAATTGTCAGTTTTATACCACCCATTTTATATCTAGATTTTCTGAAAAAGTTCAAGATGTTTCAGAATTTGTAAATTGATTAGTAACATGTTGGATTGGTGGGGTTCCAACCTACAATCCATTGATTACTAGCGTTGCATTTTTGTTTTTTAAATTATATCGTTGCTTAGTATTGTGTTTATAATGAGATCCATGGGCTTGAAACCCAAAGAAGCAATAATAGTTTCAGTCTAGCAAGCTACAAAAGTCTGATCGCCACAGTGGCGCAAGCCTCTGAATAAGAACCCTCAGTGACATGCCGTGTTCATCTATATATCACAGGGAACCAATATTAATTCAGTACTATTCATTTAATTAATCGTTAACTACTACCTAACTGTTTTATTAAGTAAAATGTTTACTACATCGTTTCTTTAAGAATTAAGTTTTAGAACTGCCAATATATTATAGATACTAAAAAGTGTGTCAAAAGTTTACTCTTAATTAACAATTAATTGAATTGTTCAATTAATTGCTGACTATCTCAATAAAATAAAATATTAAATATTTTCGCGTACGAAAAATTCAAGAGTACTTTTTTAATTAATTGAAATATTCGATACTGATATAGTCGAAAATAAAGGAGGGTTCTAAAAATAAAGTTGTCAATTATAATCCGAACACACTTACCGCTTCAGCGTACTAATGAAGTCCCAAACAATTAACTGTAGTGGACTGGCAACTGTCGATTAATTAATTAATTACCGAGGACGGACGGGCCAAAGCGATGTTCAGATTGCTCGAAGATTTTCTACAAATATTTATTGACACAATAGTATAAGTTGAAACATTGATAGTTAAATAAAGTAACTTTGATGGCCTCGTTGGTCTAATAGTAGCGATGAATGATTAAAGGATCCCCACCAGGTCCAACATATTGCAAATGGACCAAAATAAACTAGACACAATTCACAGCACAGCACGGAACGCTGACGATGCCGGTTCAAGTTCTGCCCGAGTCGAAAATTTTTTCAATTTATTTTCGATTTTTAAACAATTTACGATACAAAGCGATTTTGATTTATGTTAATGTACTGTTTTTTATGCATAAAACTTGAATAATATTTATATTAAATATAAATATTATTCAGGATTATATTATGTTATATATAATTTATGTTATAAATAATATATGATATTCATATCATATATAAATATTATTCAGACAACGGCAAGGAATAAAATTTCAAATATCTGATACGCTAGAAAAATATTGAAAACCATTTTCTTCTGCAGTTAGTATTTATAGACGTAGAGATAATTACAGATTTTCATTAATTCTTATTTACTTTAGGTTTATATAAGGAGATACAATATAACATATAATGATCGAAATAGAATGCCTGTCTTGAACGAAGGATTGGAATGATAAATGGGCTTCTTCTTAATTACCTTCTATAAATCAAAATACAATAAAACTGTCACCCTCACTCGTGCATTTGTTGTAATGGATATTCCAGAACATGAATAAGTTAACTAGCCACAATTCACAAAGTCGGCGTGTGTATAACCAACTTTAATACTCCTGAGTTAAAAGGGATTACACAATTACAAAATGGTCCATTAAAAATTCAGAACCCCATGCGTATGTACCCGCGGAGTTATCCGTGTTTATTTTGATAATATTAAAACTATGCGTTGTTCGTATTTATGTTATTCGAGACCGAAATTCAAATAACATGTAAGTACATAATCAATCTTTAACCGATCTCCAAAACATAGTAGTAGTGTATATATTCAAATTCAAAACGTTTATTGCCATAAAATATATTTACAAACTTATAACTAAATGTGTGCAAAAAAAATAATATAGTAATACATATATATAAGAGATGGATCGGTACCAGTCTCATATGCGCTGAATGCTGTTACACACAGCAGCGCTGGTTTTCAGACTGGCCCGGGCATAGAAGCAAAGGAGCGAATTTTGGTAAAATAGTATAATATAAATATAATTCCAAGATTGATATACCATAACAAACATATACATAATAGGATAATAATAAGAACCATTTATTGTTGCACATCTGCTTTCCAAGGAGGTCCAGTTTAACATGCCGCTTGAAAGTCGTATAGGTCATCTCCTTAGCTCTAAGAGGTGGAGGCAGATCGTTTCATATTTTTGAAGCGGCATATTTGAATCCTCCTTGGAAATTAGATGTAGGACATATGCTTGGGGATAAGTAAAAGATTCTGCGTCCTGCTCCTTGTGTTAAAGGTGTGCGAAGTTTCGGCCCATTCTAATTTAACGTAGAGATAGGCGAGGTTTCTCTCTGGATACCAGATTAAACATAAGCCCCGCTAAATACATCTCTCGCCTTCCCTTTATTTTTAGAAGTTTGTATTTGTTGAGATAGGGGGAGATGTGGGCTCGCCTAGGTATCCCAAAGCAAAACCACCAACATGCGTTTTGCACTCTCTGTATCGCACGTTCCGTCTTAGCGAACAATCGAGGCCCGTATACGGTGTCGCAGAAATTAAAAGTTGAGAGGATTAGGGACTCCGCCAATGTTACCCTTTTCCTCCGTTAAACACTCTCTAATTTTGTATAACACCTTGAGTTTATAGAAGGCGTTTCGGACTAAATGGCTAACGTGGTCCTCGAATCTCAACTGCTCGTCTACCAGGACTCCGAGGTGTCTGCATACTTTCACTTGAGAAACTGAAGCGTTATCAAGGCTTATGGTAAATTGTAGGTTTTTTATTAATTGGCATTGTTTCTTTGTGCCCAAAACCATGTATTTAGACTTAATACTGAGCCTTGGGGTTTACCTACAGGTTTGACCTCCGATCGAAAATACTCGCTCTCTGCGTCAAAGGCGACAAATTGTCTTCTATTGGTCAGGAATGACTTGAACCAACTGCAGGCGTCCTGATCCACACCGTAGTATGATAATTTGGCTAAGAGGAGATCCAAATTGATGCTGTCAAAAGCCCGTGTGAAGTCTAGAAGAACAAGAATTGATCCTTTGCTATTGTCGCTGTTAGATATAATGTCATCAGCGACATGTGCCATTGCAGTAGCCGCACTGTACCCAGCCCGAAATCCTGATTGCACGTCCGGTAGGATCCTCTCTTTCTCCATATATTAGGTGAACTGCCCAGAAACGACTCGCTCTATGATTTTGGATAATATGGGAAGTATACTTATCGCCCGAAGATCTGTATATTCTTTTACGTCTGTTTTCCTGGGTAGAGGTTTGATTTTGGCCAGTTTCCATGCGTCAGAAAATGTTTGGTTTGCAATGGATTTTTTCACCATTCTGGTAATTATGGGAAGTGTGACCGATAAAGTCATTTTATCATATTGATTGTTATTTCATCGTATCCTGCAGCATTAGTATGTATGCGTAATATGATTTTTTTTTACTGAGTCTGTGGTGCAAGTTTGGATATGAAAGGTTGCGTCGGTGAATTTATTATCACTAAAACTCCTCATATAAGAATTATCATTGTACACAAGACTAACGTTTTTTTTTATGTAATTAAAGCGTATATGTTCTCCATAGGATTTTTCATTGCTTTACGAAAGAAATAATAAACCTCTGATGTAAAGTACTGTACTCAATAGTAAAGTTGATATTTGTCAATGTGTCAAATAGTATATCTTAGTATAACACAAATCTATACAAACCTTGATCAAATATATCACGAACTGGATACAATCTATGGACAGGAAAACAATAGTATGAAAAGAACGTCGATCTTTTATACCTACCTAAAACGATTGTTCGATAGAAATGTTGCTTGCTCTATGGATAGCATTTGAATCGAATTGTTATATTGTTTTCCTGCGTTCTCGTTTATAAAATGTTCGCTAAAATTAATATCGGGTAGATAAAATTCCTCTATGTACTTTTCAAATGATTAGTATTTTTATATTTTTCAACATGAAGAATATACATGACCGCTAACGAACGAGAAAACATTTCTGAAACACTTTTAATTGTTTTAAACCATTAAAAACTGTTTAAACTGTAAAACTTTAACTTTTCGGTTAGAGCGACAACAAGGAACGCTGTGGTTGGCGGTTTTAATCCTGCCCATGTCAAATTTGTTTCAATCTAAAATCGATTTTTAGTTCGTTACAAGTCTTTTATTTATATAAATTGTGTAAAACAGTCCTTAGTCAGTATTTACAGACTTACTTACAAATGTTTTTGTTTAATGATGGAATGTAGTAACATATTTTTTTAAAGATTTGTACCAAATGGTATTGATTCGTTGTATTTATTAAACGTCCGCTGTCAGCCACAGGTTTGTATGCTTGACCGAAAGGGGATAGTTCAAGTATCAATTAGCGAGCTGACCTGTCGTTCATAATTCAGACGCCTGATGCACCTGTTGGCTCGACTTCACTGGAGGCTGACATCACCACATGAGATTACTTGATTAAGCAAAAATACCGTATCACATGATGCTGCTAGAGGCAGAGTAGCCTGACTGCAATTTTTATGACTTGAGTTATTTATATTTTCATAGTCTAAAATTGTTAATTTACAAGAGCACAGTAACCGAAAAATTGGTAACATCATTTTTACACATATAATAGTTAAAGTAATTTTCGGTTAAGCAAATTGTGCATTTTTATTTTCCTTATTATTGCAAATCTTTTTTTTTTGTTATTAGGCCACTCCACCGCGGCAGCTCTTATTTAAATAAAACACTTTAGCGGTTTAAAACAAGAAATATATAAGTTACACTTATTTGGAAATAAGTTAACGTGTTTCAAATCGTTTAAGTGTTTTGTTTAAATGTGTACTACTCGCATAAACAGAAACAGTCTTTCTCTTTTACATTCTAACAATCAATGCAGTATGCATGTTTAAACTTATTTATGCGAAACAACTGTTGTCGAACCCAGGATGTCTCAACAAAAATATAATTACAGCATATTAAGCCATAAACAATATCTAGACAATTTTAGGATTTTAGTAAAAATACATTTCTGTGACCGTTTCATATTTGTGATCCGATTTCTGTGCCCTGCTCGACCGAAACAATTTATTGTTTCCCCGGGATTCGAAACCAGAACCTTTCCCACTTAGCGCAATGCTTGGCAACACGTTTAACCATTTGGATACAGAGGCGGTTTATTTTATTATCCAATAGTCCTAGATACATTTTGGGAGTCTTAGTTAGGGAGGGGTTTTATCGGTGAAGTAATACCGTAATAATTATTGGTATTTTATGTCGGCGTGTAAACTATAAAAAATCCCAGCATTTTCTCATCGTTATTACTGTGCATGTCGACAGGACCAAAGTCCATATCAGATAAGGTTCCATACATCAAAGCCGGGATAGACCGCAACGTCTTGCGTAATTTTTATAACATTGGTTGACAGTGATTAACTATCATTCTACATCTAGCGAAGAAACAATACATTTTTCGTAATGTCTTAGTAATAATTAACAAAGAATATTTATGTTTATTGTGCTTATCTCCGTTGTAATGAATAATAAAGAAGGTCTACATTATTAAAAGCAATTACTGTTCGTCCCTTTTTGTTAAGCCGTAGCCAAACCAACATTGTTAAGAATCGTTTCAATTTTGCAGATTAAATCCTTTATGTAATTCAATTCCGTTGCTCTGTTTATTAAAATTCGCTTTGGTCTTGTTTATAACATCAATTAATTAACTGGAAATATAGAATTTCGCATAATAGGTACAGATAACAGCAACTTTATATTCAATAAGATATCCCTAAAGGGTTTCGTTTCAAACTATTAATGTTCCACATCTGGTCTTCTCTCAAAGTAGAAAGGGTTTGTGGGTTGGACGGCTTTACGACTGCCACCACTAAATTAGTGAAGATAGCTGTGACTCGTAGCTTAAAGTGCGAAAGCATAGTTTAAGCACGGTGGTGGATAATATATATGTCCAAAGGTTATAGTAATCTTACGATTATCGAAACACTATTTATGATATATCAATAAGGACAAAAGTTTAAAATTCCTTAGAAATAAATTATAATAAGACTGAATGAATAACATTTAAATAAGTCAAGTAAGTAAGTCTGTGGATAAGTAGTTTGCAGTCAACTTAAAAAATAAATAGAGGAGGAAAAAACATAACTACAGGATGTTTGCAATCGAACTTACAGAAATAAATAGAGGAGGAAAACATACTCCGACTACATCTCAGAAAAGGTTATGGAACCGCTACTGCCCCAGCGCGCTTAACTGATGATATCATATCGACAAATGATGCGCAAAACGGTAGTATATTAGTTCAGCTTGATTTACCCGGGCATTCGATTGTTTAGACCCAGAATTACTTGTTGCCAAGTTAGCTTACTATGGCGTAGAGAGAAGCACGTGTAAATGGTTTAAGTCATATCTGTCAAACCGAAAGCAATTTGTTGAACTGGAGGTGAAGGTAGGACACTATTCGTGTGGACCGAGGATGTCCTCAAGGATCTATATTAGGTCCTCTTCTTTTTGTGATCTATACAGCAGATTAGGGGCATCTAAGCATTCATGGCAATTTGCATAATATGTATGCTGACCATTGACCCTAAAGACACGAATGCAGCAGTAATTCAAATAAATGAGGACCTGGTAAAGGTTCATGGGCTAATAACAACAGAGTTTTTCTAAACAGCTCGAAACAGTGTTAGGTTCTAAGCAGAGTGTCAAATTGCAAATTAAATATCTGACTGAACAGGGAAAACCCCCAGTTGCCCGGGAAGATACACTGAGAAGCTTAGGAGTACTGCTCGATCCACTGTTGCGCTATAAAGATCACATAAATTCGCTTATAAGGGTTGCCTTTTTTAAACCTTATATGGAATTAGAGATACTTCAGGATAGGGTGATTGTAAAAGCAATAATCTCACTTAATATACTGTGGTTTTTCTCTCAGAGCTATACAGTGTGTTCAAAATGCTTGTGCGCGTTTTTGCTTTAACGTGCCGAAGAGGGCTCACATCACGCCGTTTCTCATAAAATCAAACTCACTGAAGATGAAAAGATAGAAGAAATCTCCATCTAGCTGGACAGGTCTTTAAACTCGTAAAGACTAGCAGGCCAACATACCTCTACAAAAAACTAGAATGGCAGAAGGACTCCCATTTACTAAATACTCGCAGTAAAGATAAACTCCAGCTAAAAATCCCAAAACATAAAACGAGTGGTTTTCAGGGTTAAATACACTGCGAGTAAGGTGTGAAACACTATTCCGCCATCAATAAATCATATTTACCTTTTAAACAAAAACTAAAAATCGTTCGTCTCGCCATTCAACGAAAGGGGTATGTGGGCCTATACCTTGTTCCGCAGTCTTAATTATGTATTCTGTCAACGATAATTTATTTTTGTTTTTATTTTATTGTACATAGACATGGTTACAAAACTTCGGCCAGAGGGAGCAGACTGAAAAACAGCGCTGTGCGATCCCCTTCGTGCAGCATTCGGCTGAGTCTGTATCCGGACGTGCCACAAAATTTTAGGTTAAGAATCTAGTTTTGAGTATTTTGTGGCATTAAATATTTTATTCTTTCTTTCTTTCGTTCAAATATATATGTTTATAAGTGTACTACTGTTAACTACAGTTTTATTTGAAAATAACGTAAAATTCAACGATATTCCAGATCAAGCTCGTAAGTTTCAATGCTATCGGATGCATTTGCATAAAAGCTAGTCTTTTCCCAATAATTTTTAGTTTAAAACTTACTTTGCAAAAGGACACGACGACCCGATAAAATTACATTTCAGGTGAAAGGAATGAACTGCGCCAGTTGGGCGAATGTGAGAAGTTAGACTATTATTTGCGTACAGCCACGCGAGTGTGAATAAACAGCGCCGACGCGCGTGACCAGAATGTAAATCTTATATTCGGGATAGGCGGAAAAAAACGTCAAAACATTTCCGCTCGAAATGCGCACGTATAATTTTTTGAGACGCGAAAACGACATTTTCCTCTAATAAACAAACCCTTTTTTATTTATTCTTAGCGATCCAGAACACTTAAGTTATTGAACACCTGAATTAATGGGGACGAGGATCTTTATGAAAATAGATTGTATACATTTTTTGTACGGTATGACGTTGTGGTTCTATCATGAAGGAAAACCTCTTTATCACCAAGTTAAACTTCTTAATTAATTTTGAATTCAGAATGAAAAAAATTACAACGTGGGCAGGATGTACAAGGTATACACAGCGTTCGCGTCCATTACAGAGCAACAGCAAGGACGCTGTAGATGCAGGTTCAAGTCCTGCTCGTGTCATAAATTTTTCTTAATTTAAATCTAATTTTAATTTACATTATGATTACTTGTTCTAACTAACAATTACATTTAGAACAGAGATTTTCAAACTGAAATTAACATAAAGGCAATTAACGCATTTTATGCTTAACAATTTGGTTCTTTCCACGTGATCTTCTTCGTAACATTGATATAAAAATTAACACGTTATGTTTACCGTCAAGTTATAATATTAATTCGGTAGAAACTCGAGTACTTTGTGTTGGTTTCCGCTATCCAATACCAAAGCAAACTTCCATTTCGTCTAGCTTTGCGGAAACATGAGATTCGTGCAAATAAAAACCGTGTTTACTTTAACAATACCAAATTATTGCTTAAACCTTACAAATTCAATTTCCCAACACAAACTAATAAGGGAAGGCTGAAAAGTATTACCTTCTTAATGGGAAATACTTTTGAGCCGTTTCTTTTTATTTCTTCTACTCATAAAAAGTAACGAGATCTTTAATCTCAAGAGGGTCTGGTGGATCATTGTTTAAACTTTCTCATCGTAGTCCTAGAAATCTTAGGATTATATTCTTCAGAATTACAATCATTTCCGCATTATGTATTGTTTATACTTCTGAGATGTTCAGATTAAATATTCATACGATTACGTCGACACTTCTAGAAAGATTATAGAAAGAAAGGAATTGAAATTCTCTAATTGCTCCTCATTGGATGTCAAAATCAGATTAATGGCATTCTTCATAGCTAAAGGTCGTGCTTCTCATGAGATCGCGCTGCTTTGCCGACAAGCTACACGATGTTTATTATATCACAAAATATTCGTCGTAAAATTACCTACATACTGAGTAACGCAAGCAGTGTGTTATATTATAAATTATTGTTTACATAAATCCGGTTTACCTATAACGAGCAATTATGATTATGTTCTTTTTTTAACTTCTCCTATTAATAGAAATTGTTTGCTAACTTTTCCTCTTAATAGAATTTGTATATAAGACACAGACATATTACATAGATTCATCAGACAATATTCGTCAGTGTTGTAACATGTCGTTACACACCTAACTGTCGCAGAAGTAAGATGTAACACGAAGTACGATAAAAAAATAACGAATTACAACCCTGGAGCCTTACCTAAGGCAACGATTAGATATCGATGAATCTCGACTAGAACAAAATGTATGGGATTGACTTTACACCTTCGCTATTCAATTCTTTCAACAAATTTACTTTCTTTTATTTCGACAATTTAATTTCAACATCAAAAAAAAATTAACTACATAAAAATTTAAAATTTCCAAAATCTCCAATTTCATGATTTTAAAATTTTTTATTTAATATTTTTACAACTATAGACGTATACTTTTAATATTAAAACAATTTATTATTTACATAAACTTTAAATTAAAAAAATTAAAAAAAAAAAAGAAACGGTTACATATTACGCCCACAACCTATTATAGCAAAGGTTATATATTTACGAAAGTCATTCAGCTTTGTACAGAGGCGGTTGCGTTTAGTCCCTACCAGCCGAGATAACACACGCGACCCTTATCACTACTCGCTCTTACCGTTTGTCATAAATTTTATCACTCCGATGAGCGGATGTACGCTGTGATCTCCTTTTTTTCGGCTTTTTCCTTCGAGTTAACGAGCCGTGAACTCGCTCGTACGCTTCTAAGTGTCCTTTTCCTTGTCACAAACACGTTCACACGATACTCTCACTAAACGTCTCTTCGGGCACAGCACTGAACGTAAGAAATTAAATTAAACGTAACTTAGTTCATCTATGCGAAAAGTGCTTTACAAGGACTCAAAAATGTTAGTAACAGTCGTTATGAACAGTACATGAAAAATGTTCAAATGTTAATATAGCAATTCCTAAGAGAGGTTTAAGGTTGTCGTAATGTTATCGCGCGCTTGAAGTGACGAATGTTGGCGAGGTGTAGGAGGCAGTCGCTCGCCTCGCGGCCAGCTGCGGACTGCGCGGCTCGCGGGTGGAACTGAGAGAAGTCACAAGGGATGCCGCCCGCAGCAGACACCGCAGCGCACGCGCCCGCCCCAGATCGATACACCCCGCTCAAACCACTCGCACACCCGCTAAGGGTGTCGCGGCCCACACACGCATTCGTCGCGACGCTCACACTTAAGACACGTCCGCTCCTTTAGTGCATCTTGATTTTTTCAATTATTTCAGCGTGTTGAGGAGCGAAATTCTTTTGTATTTTCTTGCCCTCACAATGTGTATTCAAGAACAGGTGTTCGATTAACAGGTTTACACCAAAGAACAAAGTAGTTTAGGATAATTTCAAGTTAATATTTAGTCCGATCGTCTTGAAAAATATTTCTTGCTTACGTTAAAGTCGCTGTCTATACAGGAAAGTGTATATATAACTATCGATGTAACTTTATTTATGTAAGGTGTAACTTTGATGGAAAGATAGATCTGAATATTTGTAAAAAGATATAAAAAGTTTAAAAATCGAAAATAAATTGAAAAATTTTTCGACTCGGGCAGGACTTGAACCGGCATCGTCAGTTTTCCGTGCTTTTGCTCTACCAATTGAGCTACTGAGTCCTACATCTCATCGTCGAATTTTTTCAACTTATTGATACATGCACCTCTCGCGCAGTGTAATTCCGAGTCGAAAATTTTTTTTCAATTTATTTTCGATTTTTAAATTATATAGTGCCTTCATGTGCAATAACATGTGAAAAATATTAATGTTTTCAGATATAAAAAAAACTTAATAAATTGATAATTATATACGTTAATAGTAATTCAAAAACTATAATAAAATGTTAAAACTATTTGGGATTGCTTAGTTATTGTACTACATTATACTTCTAGATCAAAAGCAACTTCAGTTTTATATCCTAGATTTAAGACGGAAATAACTTAACAAGTTGCACTTTATAAGAGCTTACAGAATTTAGTCCTTGTAGCAGTACATTCAAGTTTTAAAATATTGTCTCTTGTTATAAGTAGCTCTTTTCAATAAGAATATAAAATTTTGGGCAGGAAATAAAGTGGGCGCTTTTAAATGCACGATTAAAAACTTCGTGTTAGCAGGTTGAAACATTGATTAGTCAAAAATATATTTAATCAATAGAAAATTATGATGAGCAAAAGAAAAATATAGCCGCCCTTTCAAACCAACACGGGCGGTACCATGAAACCTGGAAAAAGTAAACGAATTCGGAAATATACGAGGCCTTGTAACATCTGGCATAACTGCTAAAGAATTTTACTCTTGAATGCATAAAATATCCTTAAATAAGTATGAAATGAAACCTTATAATTTTCGAATGTACCGCATAAATTGAACATTTTTTTTATTTAGCAAATTTGATTATATAACAGCTGATTTTAGTTGTACACACCCGACTTTTATTTATTAAGTCGTGATGTTGAGGCTCAGTTGTATACCTAAAATTATAATTTGATTTTCTCTACTCTCAAATGTCACAGAGAGGAGAAAAAATCATTGTAAGAATTCGGTATGCCATTTTCCAGGACGGTTTATTTATTTACTCAAAAAAAAATACAGATAAACATTATATGCTAGAATTGAGTGCAATGGGTTATCTTATCACTAACAAGCAATCTCTTCCAGGCAACTAAAATTTAGGTGAAAAAAATAAGAGAACATGAGATGTGCAAGTAGGCGAAACAAAGTAATATAATCAAAAATAATGATAAATTACTTAATGGCTAGGAGTGTAATGAGACTCATAATGTAATTTAGTCTAATTATTAATATAAAAGGTAAATATTACATACAGAAATGTTGAAAGTGTATACGTAAGTAAATGTATAAATAGTCTATATGCGACATTAATACAAAACAAAAGAATATGCTTACTAAACGGAGTGGCTACAATAAATAAGAATATACAAAACTTAAAAATAGAAACAAACAGATCTAATAAGTTACGTAAGATGATTAAAACTATGTAAAAAATATATAGTCGTTAATTATTATGCCTCTAGATACTTTAACTTTCCTTACATGTTCTTAATGTGAATACTTCATGAACCTCTAATTTTTCAATCCGATTACAGCTGATATCAATGGCAGACCTAAAATAACTAAAAACTCATTACGCAGCAGGTGTTTCGGTCGACGAGCAATAAAACAACTTTTATTGGTTTCTGTTTAACTTCTTTCTTACTCAATTTTTTCAATAGTCTTTCGCTTGTCTTCTGTATAAAGTGACTAATGCATTGACCTACGAATATTACTAATAATTGAATAGTATTAAACTTATTATAATTATTAAAACATGAATTTATATTATACAAATCACAAGAGATGTTTTCGCATATTGATAGAAACAATTTCGCCAACCAAACGAAATCCTTAAGAAAAATAAATAAATCGCGTAGCTCGCGGCGTAACATCGCAGCGTAGTACATCTACTACGCCGTAGCTACACAATTGCTAATACCGGTTACGAGCATGCTACGAATTTTTAAATGCAAATTTTGCAAAAACTTCAAGCCAATTTCAATAATGGATTATGCATTTACAAAAAATATTTCGTTTTATCTATAACTCACGAACGCTAAGTAACATTTTTCAAGAGCAAAAAACAGACAATAACAGACTGGAAATGCCCGAATGAATTTGAATGGACACATTTTATAATAAGCATTCTACAGAATCACGGCTTAATGAGCAACAAAAGATAAATTAGGCTACTTCAAATCAATAAGCATCCGATATTAGCGCTCGACGCACGCTCCAGAATATGCATCAGTGATTTTATTTCATAGAATCAACTTGTTTATGACGTTATTCCCAGCTGAATACTAAATATGCTAGTGTCCGGGCTAGTTATTATGCAGTTTCATAATCGCGGCTATACTGCGTTTTTTACGAGTAAAATAACATATTCGTATAGTGCAATACGCTTTTTTCCAGTCTGTGCCTTTCTCGACCGAAATTATTTATTTTTCTGGACCTATCATACGGGAGTTAACGCGTATAACAATTGACATACTATAGTATGAAACACACAAATAGTCGTATAGATATTATCTCAGATGTAAACAATAGAAACAGAAGCCAAGTCTATGGCATCACAGGTGAGGAGATCTCGAGTGATATTTGCCGCGTCCTGGAGTAGATGCAGAGCACTGTTTACGCGGCAAACACTCGTGCTCACTCGGCTCTGAACTCCCCCCATCCCCACTTCCGCTGAAACGCCTACATTCACCTGGTACAATGCGTATCACCTGTTAACTCTTTCTTTTAATAATGAATCTCAATTTTACTACCATACTTACCATAATGAATGTGAAATAAACTGCATGTGTGAAATAAAAATTATTCGCTTTCTGATTACACTACCGTATAGCCGACTCATAATATGGTTATAAAAATAACTGCTATAAATAGTAACTGGCCAGTATTTGCATCGGGCTCATTTACGTAAAAGCCATTTCAGAGTAATGTTGACAGAGAAAACAATTCAAAATTGTCAATGTTGCGTACGTAACAACTCTGTGTATGTTGACGTTTCATATTTGTAAGCATATATGTAAAAAATGTAAACGAGGAGAACACAAAGAGGACGCAACATACCAGTAATACAAGCCACCTCTCTCGCGGTATTTCTCGGAAAAATGAAAACATTCGCGAACAAAGTGAAATGTCTTTTCAATTTATATATTGCTAGCGTCACATCTTTACTTCCCGTTCTGTTAAAACATTTAGTTGTCATTGTGTAAAACACCTGTATGATTTTTATACAATAGGAAACATGTATATTTTTGATCATTAAAATGAAACACGTCTCGCGCAATGTAATGATCTTAACACTTGCGTGTCAATCGGTTGAAAAAATCCGACGATGACGCGCAGGGCACGGTAGCTCTATTGATTAGAGCAACAGCACGGAACGCTGGGATGCCGGTTCAAGTCCTGCTATATCGTAGAATTTATTCAGTCTATAACCAATTTTTAATTTATATTGTATCATCATGTTCAAAAGCATGTAAATTAACAGTAATATTAAAGTTTATAAAATTCATATTATTTTTTCTGGATACGTAGGCTCAAAATTTATTTTTGCAAACAACCTCCTCAGTCTTATAAATTATAATTGTAAGCCATGTAATCGTCCACGTCCTGTCGTGAGTTAATCTAAAGATGAATAGTTTTCCCTGATTTTCATAATTTTCCACTGTTTCTATGTATGAACACAAAAATAGTTTTTTCAATTGGAACCAGCAATTCCTGAGCTACCGCATTTAAATAAAATCTTCAGCTTTTATAATATTAGCACAGAGTATAGATTTCTACTCGTTTTTATTTCTTCAATTATTTACACAAACAGAAAAAAGCTTCTTAAATTAGAATGGACTGCAATTGTACTAAAGTACTAACCTCTAACCGTGGGACGTTTTAAATTTTTATGACGAAGAAATATGTTGTCTTTTTTTATTTTCTAATGACAATTATTTTCTACAATAAATGTATAAGGGTCACACATACAAAAAAAAACTCTGATTAGGTATATTATACAAAGGGATAAAATTATATGTGGTAAATTTAAAAAAGTGACATAAGATAAGGTAAAACGATTAAAGGTCGATGCAAATCTTTTATCACTTTATCGTAATGCCCTTTTAGACTTAAATATATCCCTTGAATTTACTAAGATCATAAATACGTTACGCTTAAGTCGCTTTTTACGCCAGTTTGTGGTAATAAAATAATGCTTGAGTTTCATGAGCAATTAAGTTCAGTCTCGTTTTAATAACATTATCATCAGTGCTTACAATTGTTAAAGTTTCCTTTTGTTAAAACCATCTTATCCCCAAATGCATAAAGAAGAAACTCCACAGCAATAACGAACCTATTCTTGTGAATCCGTTCCGAATAATGTTGGTCTGTACTTTATAAATAAATTTGCAGAGCTAAAATAATTATATCGTCTAATTGCCTCTTGATACATTTGAGTTTATTTATTTATTTCGATTTGTTTGTTAAAGACAATAAAAGGAATAATTCGGTCATGAATATTAATGCGGGATTCGCACTCATCGCTTCGCCTGTGCTTTTATCGTGTATTAATATAATAGCTTCTGAATTCTCATCGATCTCGGATAAGTCGTTATTGGTTTACCATATAAAAGGAATATTCACATATGTATGCTAAATTAATCCATACCATATATTTTTGAATTAACCAATAGATCTTGTATAAATAAGTTTGGTTATATTAAAAATTTATCTATTCAAAGAGTACGAATATTTTATCTGAATTTTATATTATATTAATCTTTACCCGTTTATATATTTACGAAAATTGTGCCTTCAAAGCATTATTAATACTTATACGCGTGCCATTTATATGTTATAGATACAATATTAAAAACTCCAACAAAATAAAATATATCACACCATATTTAGCACTCCACATAAGCAAAAGACTATATCGATGCTCTTTTGTTCATTAATTAAGACTGCCTTAGAGGTATATAAATGATTACTGTTATATAATATAATATATAAATGTTATGTTTCAGTTGAAAATAGATTACTTTGTGTTTGAAAACTTTATTATTTTTCACATGTTTTTGCACATGAAGGCACTATATAATTTAAAAAGCGAAAATCGTGCATGTATCAATAAGTTGAAAAAAATCGACGATGAGGTGTAGGACTCGGTAGCTCAATTGGGAGAGCGTTTTTTTTTAAAAAAAAAACAGCACGGAACGCTGACGATGCCGGTTCAAGTCCTGTCCGAGTCGAACATTTTTTTCAATTTATTTTCGTTTTTTAAATTATATAGATTATTTTAGTTTACTGTCACAATATATGACCATAGTAAATTAATTTTGATAAACAGGTAGGCTTTTTTTGTATGGACCATTTACTTAAAAAAAAGTCAATTTCTGTTAAAGTTAGTTTACATTTTTAACATCTAGTACATATAACAATTACTCATGGGTGATATTAAATTTTGGAGTTCACGAGGCAGCATAGCTTAGGATCGTTTTCTTTTACGATCACAAATTTCTACGACACCTAAGAGAGCCGGCAGAACTACACACTGTATTATGTAAGCTCTATTGTAATTTTATCTTCCGTTTACCGCCTTTGAAATATATTTGCTCTCTCATATTGTGGTTCCTGCTTTTCCTGTTGTACAATATTTATAATCTCAATAGGTAATTGAATTTTTATTTGACTGTTATATATCCGATGCTCTAATTACAAAAAGCGTCGCTTTACATTGCAAGCGAAAAAGGTCCTGGGCTAGTCTTGGGAAAACGAAATGTTTTCGTATCTCGTGACTAGATCGGGTGAACCTTGAAGTCCGATATTCTTGCTTGTTGATGAATGAGTAAAACCGGAACAGACGTCCCATCCTTAGTCTAAGAAATAAATAAACAATGTATGTTTCTCGTAAAAATATAAAATTCTATCCGTAGTTTCCGCGTTTGGTACTCATAAATAGTGGTAAAATTTACCTATTCAAACTGTTTTAAATACTGTCTGTAGTTTACGGGAATAGTACACAATTGAATAAAACACTTTAACGGTTTAAAACGCGATATATTTTAGTTAAATTTGTTTTAAAATTAATTTCAGATGTTTTGCAGCAATGCAAGCAAAGTGTTTTATTTAAGATCGACCTTAAACTTTAAAATTTATTATTAATATTTCACCGAATGAATAAAAAAAATCACTTCACTAAAATGAAATTACGCCTAAAGTATTGAAGTCCTTAATTAACACTTATTTTTAACAATCTCTTAACAAGTTATCGTTAAACCTTTCCAAGCAGCATCCAATTAATGTGAAACGAGATGATATCTCTGATTACAATATAAATTTCGTCACTGGTAGGTATGCTTAATTAATTTGAGAGGTAAGTAAATGTTGCGTAACTAACATTTATTTATTACATCAAAATTTAAACATATGTATGAAAACTTAAAGTTCAAAATATGTTAGATTTAAAAATCGAACTTTTGGCAGCTTCTTTATGCTGTGTGTGTAATTGTGAATCCGAATGTGGGGCAGATATATTTCTGTGTCTATTTTTATGATAATTTTAATTACTTATGAGAAGTTCGAGCCTTCTTCTAATCATGCCCGAACGACAATATTGTCTTTCTTCGGGATTCAAACACAGGACGTATCAATGGGCGTAATAATTGAATTACATTCATAAGTTGTACATATATGAAAAAGATTTTATGACGAGGACCGAGTGCAAAACGAATTAAAGGGCAATCAACGTGCCGAAACGTTGGTTTACACAACTTCATGACACCACGCAAATTCCACACTTTTGGGGGGGGGGGTCTCCTATTTTTAAAAAAAAGATTTTACGGTGGAAATCGACACCACGACCAAACACGACGAAACACGATTATGGCAAATGCTAAACCTACGCGCACGTTAGTACTATAAAGGAATACAAAAAGCAATATAACTTTATAAATTAGTTTCAGATCAGACTTGTAACGAGCATTAATATCATAACGAGCGTAATTCTCCTAATGCTAATGGGAAAGTTCTACTTATAACTACTTGCCGGCAGATAAATACCCTACTTTCCAGATCATTTAATTTCATTATGAACTTACGTTCAAAGTCAGTGAATTCCTCTCATAACCGTAAAATACTTAAATGGAATATTAATTGCGAATCAAATTATGAGTAGGTTATTACGTCGCTGGAAATCTTCTCAAGTGTATAACGGGCGCTAATCTCTTAATAATAACACTTTTAACAACGTCAATGAGAAATACATTTTTTTCTGATTGATGAGGCAGAATGACGTTCGCTTAGTTACATACCTTAGCCAAACATCTACGCTGTCTGTTTGGTTTTAAATATTCGGAAATCAACAGACTGAAAACTAAACGCGGTTACCGTCATTTTTTATCTGTGCACGGTGGTTCGTGACCCGGACGGCATGTCGATATTCCTACCACCTATTAAATATCCAGATTTCTAGACGAAGACCAACATGTTTCAAAATAATTATAAATTCATTAGAAAAATGTACCCGGTGGGGATCGAACCTAAGACCCACGATTGAGCCCGTCAAATTGTGTGTAAATAACACAACAATATAACAATAACAAATATATAAGATATATCACGTCGCTAGAGACAAAGAAGCCTAACTGCAATTTTATGGCTTGACTTATTTTTTATAGTCTAAAATTGTTTACATAATTCTTACAAAAATAATAGTACGAATTCATTTCCGCCTAAGTTAATTGCGGATTTTTATTTTACCCCTTTTTGAAAATCATGTTCTTTGTTATTAGGCCACTCTGGCTC